CACACACACACACACACACACACACACACACACACACACACACACACGATAATGGTTATTTTATCCAGGGAAAAGTGGCATGATTTTCTTTGAAGAGAAGAGTCTTTGGTGTTTGTTTTCTTGTTTTTTTTTTTAACTGAGGTGATCGAGTCTAAAAACTTTGAGAACCACTATTAACTACTCAAGCATTTCCATAGCCATAGTATACAAACTACCATCTGTTTCTATCCCCAACTGTTCACTCTGATTATCATGAATAGTTTAATCACCATCAAGGCTATCCTGCCCTTATCTAGAGGCAGAAAGTATCTCTTCCAAATACATTTGTTATTTTTTTGTCTAGTAGTTTCATTATTGAACAGATAAAGGCAACAAGGTCTTCCACTTTTGCCATATTATTATGAAAAATCCCCTTTGTCCTCTTTTCAAAATGCAAGTCCCCATACCTTTGAAGTTCTATTATTGTAGGAATTACAGGCAATCCCAAGGGGAAGGCAACCTAGTGCAGTGAATATGAGGGCTGGCTTTGGAGTCAGAGGTTCTGGGTTCAAATACCAGCCCTGCCACTTCCTACCTGTGTGACCTTGGGTAAGTCACTGCCTCTCTCTTGGGGATCAGTTTCTTCGTCTATAAAATGAGAGGGCTGGTCTCAGAGGTCCCTCACATTTCTAAAGCTATGAGCCTATGAATTCCTTTGTCTGTTACAAAGAATAAGATCGTTGGTGTGTTTATAAACACGTTGTCTTGCTTTGGGTGCCATCATCACTTCTCCAAGTAATAAATAATGGACACATTAAGTGTAAAAATTGCCCATAATGCTACAGTAGGTAATAACATTTTTATACCATTATAGAGTATTGGTTATCTGTCATCTACTCAATCCAAGTTTAGTACTGCCTAATTACATATAGGGAAACTGAATCATACTCAAAATGTAAAGGATGAGTATTATACATTTTAAAATAATAAAAAAGAATTCTCCTATAACATTGTACTTTTTTTTTCCTTTTTTCTTTTGGAGGCAATGACTTGCTGAGCATCACACAGCTAGTGTCTGAGGTTGGATTTGAACTCAGGTCCTCCAGGCCAATGCTCTATCCACTGTGCCACCTAGCTGCCCCAACACTGTACTTTTAACACATGGCTTATTTTTTTTTAATTCCTTGCCTTGGTTGTAACACTCCAATTTATCTTTAATATTTGCATATGTATGAAATTTTCAAAACGTAGAGCACCTTTAGGAAGGGGTAAAGAATGTTGCCAATCAAGCAATCACCAAGCATTTATTAAACACCTATTGTGTGCCAAGCAGCATGCCAGATACTGGGAACACAAAGACAAAAATGAGACAGTCCCTGCCCTCAAGGACCTTATAATCCAAACCTCAAGGATCTGTGCTTTGTCAGCATGGGCTCTGTCACCGACATAGTCTTTATGAGCCGCTTTGTCTGAACATTTCATCACTGTGTGGCCAACCTGTTGAGAAGCCTTTGGAACTTATCACAGCTGGTCCTCAGATGACAGACACGTCTGTCACCAGGCCTGTGCCCAAAGCTTTTCCAGCTTGGTACAACTCACCAGAGCTCACGCTGTACTCCAATAGCCTCAGCAAACTGAGCAGCACCTCTAGACTGAGAACTTCAGGGGAAGTGGATCATGTTGCAACTCTAAAAGTTTCCAAATCACTGATCTGAACTTCACTCTCTGGAAGTACAATGTAGCAATTAGCTAGGTAGCTACTGTTCCATCCAGGACTCACTGTGACACAGAATTCCCCATGCGGGCTCAAATCAGAGAACTTAGGTTTGAGGCCTGGATCTGATGTTTGTTGTCTGCATGACTTTAGGCAAGTCACTTCCCCACTCCGGGACTCAGTTTTCTCAGCTATAAAATATGACAGGTGGGACTAGGGGGCTTCTGAGGTTCCTTCCAACTGTAAACATCTCCATCCTGTTTCATGTTTATAAGCCTTGTCCAGCTCAAACACTTCTAAAAACTCATTCATGGATTACAAGTATATCATTATCTGTCAAGTGCTAATAACCACTTTCCCACTTAATTCAGGACCAAGTTGGATTGAAACAGAACCTGCACCATGTTGACGAGCTCATGTTCTGTTAAAATTTCAAGTTTTTAGAAATGGGGTATAAATGAGGCTATCTTCAATGCTACCATATGAATATTCTGAAAAGGGAAATGGTATGAGTATTTTTAGAAAGAAACAGGATAGTTATATAAAACTTTGGGTTTGTTTTCTAGCAATTGCTCCTAAATCAGCTCTATATGGGATGGGGTATACATACATACATACATACATACATACATACTGGGGGGATCATCTGCCATTTCTATAAAACAAAAAAATCACCACTGGCTCATTTCTGCATCCTAATAAGTTACTAAGTAATCCTCAAAAGATACAACTGATCTTCTGTTTTTCCCTTCTTCCCATTTAAACCAATTATTGTAACCATATGAAAGTTGCTTGCGTCTCTCCATTTGATGGGCAGTTAGGCGGCACAGTGGATAGAGTGCTGGGATGGCACTCACCTTCCTGAGTTCAAATCTGGCCTCAGATACTTACTAGCTGGGTGACCCTGGGCAAGTCACTTCACTCTTTTGGCCTCAGTTTCCTCATCCATAAAATGAGCTGGAGAAGGAAATGGTAAACCACTCCAGTATCTTTGCCAAGAAAACCTCAAATGAGCAACAACTCCATTTGATACATAGTATAAGAGAAGGGTTGAATCCCTTAACAGAGAGGCAGCCTGGTAGTTTGGAAATAACACTAGTTCCCTTCACAACTCAGCCCAAGTGCTTTCTTGAGTCTTCCAGCTCTACCCATCCCACTCTTGAAATAGCTTTGTATTTTCTTATCTATGGTCACATTGGGGTGTGTGTATATGTGTGTGTGTGTGTGTGTGTTGCCCTTCCCCCCAGTACAGTGTAAGCTCCTTGAGGACAGGCAATGCTTCTTTTTTTTTTTGTCTTTATATCTCCAGACCTGAAACATAGTAGGCCCCTAATAAATGGTCCCATAGGGTCACAGATCTGGAGCTGGAAGGGATCTCAGAAGCTATCTAATTCAACTCCATATTTTACAAAGGAAACTGTGGTTCAAGGAAGTGAAGTGACTTGTCCAAGGTCACACAGATAATAGCAGAGGGGAGATTTGAACTCAGGTCCTCTGACTGCAGAGCTGTTTAAATGAAGAGATCAGTACACTAATACCTACTATAGTTGTGTGTCACTTAATCCTAAAGAACCTCAATTTCCTTATATAAGATGGAGATAATACTTACTCCACCTACTTCATAGGGTTATTGTGGGGGACAAACTTCATAAACCTTCAAAGTGCTATAGAAATGAATGATTACTAGTTTAGAAACAGTTTTCCAGTTCACTGAGAGTAGGAATTTCAACTACAGGGATGTTTCTGTGGGCATGACAAAACAAACCCAAATTTCCAAGCTTTAACCCCCTTTCCTCTCCTGGAATCAAGGGGTCATTGATTTCTTTCCCTCCACTGCCCCCTCCTCCAACACACACACACACACACACACACAGAGCCCTGGAGGAACTGAGGTTCCTTAGCTTTTTATGATTCAGTGCCCCAAAAAAGTAGTGACAAGTAGTGGAAAGACTACTGGAGCCCTGCCATTTACTACTTGTGTGACCTTGGGTTAGTCACTCAGCCTGTCCATTCCTCAGTCTCTTCCTCTATAAAGTGACCAGGGCACTGGACAAGATGTTCTCGGCCTATGATCCCACGAAAGCAGTAAGGCCAGCCCCATTAGCCAAGGGTAGAAACCCTCCAGGCCCTAGTTAGGGTGTCCTGGTAAACATGCCCCGGGCCCACTCTTCAATAGTGTCCCTACCCCGGTTCCACATGGGCAGATCACGTGAGCTTGTTTACAGCTGTGCACAGCTCCAGGGCTGCCCGGGAGGTCCTGGGAGGTGGAGAGGGTCCACGCCTTCCCCCCACCCCCATCATCCGATTATCTTTGGGGGCTCATGTACTTTCTCCTATCCTTCTCTGACACTTCCCTCCCAGCCTGGGCACGGACTGAAGGATTTCCCACCCCCCACCGCCACAGTCTTGTCCCTCAGCGCCAAGGCTGCCACCCATGCCAGGCGCAGGGGCAGTGGGAGGGGGAGGGGGATGAGCAAGAGGAAGCCCCCAGATGGGGGCCACTGGGGGCGAGTACCCTTTTCCGTCCTCCTCCCTCCTCCATCCCTCCCTCCCCTCGATGCCACGCGAGCCACTGACTTCTTTGGCAGCACTACCTGCCCCGAGCTCCCTCGGACCGCCCGCCGGCCGTCGAGGCAGCCCAGTCCCCTTTCCCTAAGCCCGGCCCGGACAGACTGACAGACAACCAGAGCCCCCTCAGTGGGGTGGGGTGGGGGAAGGTCTGCCCAGAGGGAGCGGGGCTTCGCGCTTGCGCGGACGGACACACATAGCCGGGACAGCGCGAGCCGACGGGAGTGGGGGGGCGGCGGAGGGGGCGTCCTAACTGGGTGGGGGCTGTTGTGTGTGGTTCTTGTTGTGGTCGGGGGAGGGGAAGAGGAGAAGGGTAGCTCCAGACCCCACCCCCACCCCCTCCCCGCTGGAGGAAGTGGGCGCCGAGAAGGCGGCGACTCTCACCTCGGACAGCAGCGGCTCCTCGGGCTCGGTCCCTCCCCCTCTTTGAGCGACGGCAGCGGCAGAGGCGACAACTGACAGGGCTCCCAGTCCTTTGTCACCAGAGCGGGGGGGGGGGCTGCACTGGCTGCTGGGAAAGCGGAGGACTCGGTGGATCCCTCGCCTTGGGCGGAGCTACTTACTCCCGGAGCAGGCCAAGGGGGCGGGGGCGGGGGCGGGGGGGCGGGGCGGAGGCGGGGCCTTCTCTGCCCACCTGGCCTCAGACCTTCCAGCCTACTGCCAAGCAGCCACCTCCCTTCTGTCACCACCCCCCTCTTCCAGACCCCCAGGGAGGGCTCTGGTCCCTCCCCTGCAGCTGTCCCCCCAGTCGAGGCCTCAGAGGCCGGGAGAGCTTAGCTGAAGAACTGGGAGGCACCCTAGATGTCATCTAGTCCAGCTCCCTCAGTTCACTGATGAGGAAACTGAGGCCCAGAGATGAGAAATGGCAAGATCATAGGATCAGAGATCTAGAATTGAAAAGAACTTTAGAGATCATCTTAACCCAACTACCTCATTTTACAGATGTGGAAACTGAGGTCCAGAGAGGGGAAAAGACTGGCCCAAGGTCACACAGGTAAGTGGTGGAGCCAGGATTGTAACACAAGGTCTTTCTGGTCCCCAATCCATGTTCATCTACTGGGTCAGGCCCCTCTTGACCTAGTCCAGTGTTGTTTTTGCAAAAGCTAACTGGTCCAGCAGAATCGCACTTCTAAGGTCTTTCCTTCCTCTGCAGGTTTAAACTGTTTGTGGTATAATCTCCTGTTGGTATCCTCTTCGGGGGCACCTTAGTGTAGAAAATATCCCTTTGTGGAAGTCTAACCAAATGTCCTAAGTACTTCAGGCTAATTCTATCAATCAACAAGGGCTTACTATGTACTAGATGGAGGCAGCTAGACAGCACAGTAGCTGGGTCTGGAGTCAGAAAGATCTGAATTCAAATACAGCCTCAGGCACTAACTAGCTGTGTGACCCTAAGCAAGTCACTTAACCTCTGTTCACTTAACCTCTGTTTGCCTTAATCCACTGGAGAAGAAAATGGCAAACCATTCCAATATCTTTGCCAAGAAAATTCCATGGACAGTAGGGTCCAAGGTGGTACAAAGATTCAGACACAACTGAACAACAATGTGCCAGACACTCCCTGAGCCCTTCAAAGACAAAGCAAGACAGTCCCTGCCTTCAAGGAGCTTGTTTTATTGGGGGTAGTATCTCCATGGTCACAGATAAGCCAATATGAAATATAGATAAAATCAGGGCACTGGCAATTGGGAGCATGAGAAGAGGCCTCCTGGAATAGCAGATGCCAATGGCACGTAGAACACTCCAGTTCTTAACACTTCTCCCTCAACCCCATTACTTCATATTTACTTGGCATATGTTTTATATTTCCACATTTTCATCCTCCTTCCCTAGAATGTAACCTGCTGGAAGGCAGAGGCTCTTTGTATCCCTCAGCACCAAGCACAGTGCCTGGCACACAGTACCTGTTTAATAAATGCTTGTTGAGTTGGAAGAGGTTTAGGGAAGGAAAATCAGTACATTGAAATATAAAGACTGATTCTTTTTCTATTTTTAAAATTTTTAAAAAAATTTTTTTAGGACCAATTCTTTAATTTGCTCTTACTTTCCTCTCAGATGCTTAATGTTCTCTGGGTTCTCCCTAGGGCTCTCAAGAAAAGATCTGAAACACAGTCATAGTTAATGCGTCAAAGGACCAGTGATCTCATATGTGTGGATTCTCCCTCCACAAATCACCACCCCCTCCACCTCTGCTTAGCCTTTATGACTCATTCAGACTAAAGTGTCAATGATTGGTAACCTAGTGAGTAGATAGCATAAGCATACATTACCTGATGTTGTCTTGGGGAATGGCTGAACTACTTACAACAGTTGCCCAATCTGGTGAGCTTATCGGAAGATGACCCTTTGTGTGACTTTTGCTATGAGGGGGCTCAAAATTCTCACTTCTTGCCTCTGTGCTCTGTTGTCCTTCTATAGCTGTAGAACAAGTATAGACTGACAGGAAATCCAGATATCTGACACTGACCTTTAACTGCAAACCGTTAAGACTGATTGGACAGATGGCAAATTTTACCTTTGTTGAATGATAGCCTTTGCCTCAAAGCCCCTCTCCCCTGACTACAGCTGTTCTGGAGAAGCTTTGGTGACAGGGAACACAAGCTCAGTCATTTGCTGTATGCTTTGGTAACATTTCAAAAGGCCAGAAGTGTGCAGAGCTTTGTCTCTTATTGTACTGTTGCCTCAAGCAGGGACGGCTCTCTGCTGCAGAAGCCCAGCCAGAAACTTTCAGGGTTCCTCCCGGGCCAAAAATTACTCTCCTGTCTCCATCACTAAGACTCACTAAATGAAGTGAATTTCCAGTCAGTCAATTCAACTCAATTCAACAAGTATCAACTTTGTGCCCAGCACTGTGCTAGGCACCAAAGATACAAAGACAAACCAAAATAGCCACTTCCATCAAGGAATATTGGGGAGAAATTGACATAACACAAATGTGTGCATACATATATGCATGTATTCATACATGTATTTTATGTATATATTCCTATATGATATATACATATTCCTATATGTGTGTAATAGACACATATTCCTTTATGTGTGTAATATACATATATATTCCTATACATGTATAATATACATATATTCCTATATGTGTGTAATATACATATATGTTCCCATTATGTGTGTAATAGACACATATTCCCAAGTGTGTGTAATAAACACATATTCCTATATATGTATAATAGACATATATTCCTATATGTATGTAGGACAAGACCAGTGGTTTCATTGGTAGAGGGAATTCCCCTGTGAAATAACTTCCTCTACCAAAGAATAAATGAATGAAAAAGCATTTATTAATCAGGCACTGTGCTAAATGCTGGATATACAAATGCAAGTAAGCAAGATAGTCCTTGCCCTCAAGGAGCTTACATTCTAATAGAAAAAGACAACAAGTAAAAGTGAGTCAGAGTTCAAAAGAAAGGGAGGTATTGGGCCAGTGAGAGTTCCCCTGTTAGAATCCCAGGTCACAGGGGAAGAGTCTGAGTTCTGGTGGGAGGAATAGGGCCAGAGTGCAAGCAGTATGATTTGGAAATCTAAGGGAAGTGGCCTGCTCAACAGCTGATTGTTTTAACTGAGATATCTGGGGCATTGAGAAGTGAAATGACTCTCCTGGTGTTGTACAACTATAATATGTACGTATCAGAGGTGAGGCGTAAACCCAGGCTGACTCAGATCAGTTGAATATACTATACAACACTGTTTCTCAAGTGCAATGTATATGTGGAGAGAGAGAGAGAGAAAGAGAGAGAGAATGAGAATGAACCCCCTCTGGGCTACTCCCCAAAACTTTCAGTCACCCTGACAAGCTATTTCTCCAGAGGATGACTGCTGCTACCTCAAGTTCTAGGATGGCCTCTGTGGGAAACTATACCTGACACAGTATTCTACAAGCTCCCTTCAGTGTGTTTCTCTGTAATAATCAGCAAGTAGACTCAATTAGCTTTTTCAAAAAGCATTTACTCAAATGGCATAACAAAAACAGTAGCTACAAAGAATATCTTCCAGAAACCTGTCCCACAAAGATGCCACAGAATCCAGGAGAAAAGAATAGACACAAACTTAAAGTATAATGGTAGTAAAGCATACCTATAGGGAATATACATGGCTTAAAGCAACTCACAACTCGAGAACAGCAGGGTCTAATAATGTCCTTTCTTTCTCTGAAGAATCCTGACAAATTCATGGCAGGGTGAAACATCAGTGTCAGTGATGGATGAATCACTCCACTTTTAGGCAGGACTAGCGCCTCCAATGGCCCGACAGTTTCTTTGGACAGATGGCTCAGTTGGACTTGCTCCTTGGTGTCTCAGCTGGAAAGGCTGATCTGATGCTAGGCTGAACTGAGCAGGTTGTTGGGAGGGTGGGTATGGCACATGACAGGCTGAGCCGAGCAGGTCACTCGGCCATCGAGTTGCTGTTGGACTGGACTGGGCAGATTACTTTGTTGCTAGTCTTCACAGGACTTAGCATCTTTACTGGATGGATGGATTCCCCAGGCTTGCTCTTTGATGGACAACTGCATCTCCTTCACCATCAGTGTCTAGCTTAGATGGCTATTTTTGTGTGTAACAGCAGGATTGTTACAAGGCTCTTTCAGCCTGGCTGGTGACTCCTAATCTAGGATAAGCAAAAAACATCTCCTCTTTAACTCTCACAGGACATCAACTCTGAGATTTGTCACCTCCCAGGCAGAGGTTGATAGAGGTCTAGCCTCTTGTGCTTTCCAATTCCTTCTGGTTCAGAGCATTGTTCTTTAGCCAGTTATCTTGGTCAGATTCTCATTGGGAACTTATGAATATAAACAGTTGGAGACAAGGATATAAACTATGGAGGCAATCTGTGCCCTTGGCCAGCTAGGTGGCTCAGTGGATAGAGCACTGGGCCTGAAGTCAGGAAAACTGGAATTCAAATCTGGTCTCAGATGCTTACTAGCTGTGGGACCCTGGGCAAGTCACTTAACCTCATCCAGCCTCAGTTTCCTCAACTGTAAAATAGGGATAATAATAGCACCTGAACCTCCCAGTATGATTGTGAGGATCAGATGAAATAACATTTGTAAAGAGCTTTGCAGACTTAAAAAGTGCCAATGGAATCACAATATCATATATAGATATAGAGCAATAAGTAGGTTGAAATATGAAATCAGTCAGAAACGAGAGGTCGGAACCAAATCCTGAAGGGCTTTAAATGCCAAATAGAAGACTTTGTATTGTGTCCTGGAGGTAATAGAGAGTCATCGAAGTTTCTTAAGCAATGGAATGGCACAATTAGACCTGTGCTTCAGGTGTCTGTGCCATTTATCAAATAGATGCTAACACTGTGTGTTGGGGGAAAGGGAAGAGGAATAGAAGAAAGATCATTCCTACCTTCAAACACCATGCTGGTTTTGAGGTGGCACATTGGATAGAGTGCACGGCCTGGAGTCAGGAAGATCTGAGTTTAAATCTGGCCTCAGATGCTTGCTAGCTGTGTGACCCTGGGCGAGTCACTTAACCCTGTTTGCCTCAGTTTCCTCATCTGTCA